CATGGTGGAGTAATAGATAGCGGCTGGGATTGAGGAATCGGAGAGCCAAATTTCAGTTGAATCCAATACATTCACTTACCTGCTAATACCTTTGGGAAAGTTATGAGTCCTCTTCTTTTTGCCCCAGCTATGGGTAAATAGCAGGACAGATAGGGTTCTATAGCCTTGGATGCCAACTGGTCTACTGCAGAAAGAAATGGCAACTTACTGCGGAAAAAATCTGCCTCATCAGTCATGTATCAAAAGATAGATGATTGCCTAAGTGTGTATCACCCATGACACATAACTGACTACCTATGAAGCATTTTCATTGAGCCAGCTCCTTGAATGGAAAGCCTCCAAGTATTTGACCATTGTCCATTTGCATGACAAACCTGAACCTGCTCAAACATCTTTGTTAACAGATTAGGTAAACAGCTTAAATATATGTTTAATGCTGCTTTATTTGACAGACTATTATTTCACAGTATGGATGTACAGGTAATGTAGAGAATAACAGGGCAGAAAATGAAATCAGTATGCCGAGTTCAAATTCCAAGGTTGTCTGTTGCATTCACTTTCACACAAATAACCTTGGGAAAGGACTGAATCTATCTCTTCTCCCTCCAGCTATAGGTTAAATAGTAAGGTAGACTGAGCACTCTAATTTTGTGTGTCAACCAGTCTAACAGTAGGAAAACACTGAAATCCAAACTACAAAGAAGGCAACGGGAAACCACTGCACTATCTCTCCCAAGAATACATAGTAATTTACAGATAATAAAATAAAGGAAGCTGTGGAGAGTCATAATCAACTACATCTTGAAGGGATACGGTATTTAATTTAACTATACAGATGAAATGTCACAAGCCTATTGCAATTCTGTCATTATTTCCATGGCAAAGGTTCTGACAAGTTACATTCTTTGGTTTCACCAGTTCTGACCTATACAACTAGGACATACCATGCCACATCCACATGGTTGAATCATCCTCATTGCCTTCATATTCCTTTGGTAAGAAGGAAGTCCCACTCAGACAATTTCTTCTTGGAATTGATTCATTTTTTTAATACTTATCGACCCTTTGTGAGTTAATTTTAAAACCTAAACATATTTTGAATTATGAGAATAATTCTTTTTTGTTTTTATAAGCGAATATTTCATTAACTATTTTTTTTTAAATACCAAGGCTATTTCCTAGATACATTTCATACTATTTAACCCATAACTGGGGAGAAAAAGATGGTATTTGTAAGTGAATGCAGCAAACCAAACTAGAATTCAAGCCTGGCTTTCCATTTTCTCATTTTGAGCCATGAAATATTACACCACCCACACATTCTTCTTTTGAGAACTGCTGCCTGATTGAATAGATTCCTAAGAGGATGCTTACCTGATGACTACAATCATCAAGTCTAGGGTCAACCATTATTTGCCTTACATGTCCTCATAATTTGACTTTAAATTCATACAACAACCTCAGTTATGTAAACCTCTACCTTGTGAATATGTAGCAAAAAACAAATGATGTTGATTGTTAATGACAATGCAAAATGTTTTTAACAGGATATTTTTAATCATTTCATGCCAAGAATGGCAATAAAGCCACTAAGACACCAGATGTTACTGAAAGTTAGAGAATATGAGAGAAAGAACAATAAAAGAACAGGAAGAAAGAAGAGAGAGGATAATAATTTACATCTAAAGTTTTGAAGATCAATGTTGACTGGGAAGCAAGAAGCAGGAAGATAGTTTCACAAGCAAGAAGTGTGAGAAAAGAAACAGAAACTGTTAGTAGAAAACTTACAATTACATCTAGCCATTTCAAAATGAAGAGACCTTACCACCAATCTATACTGTGCATATATTCATAAAGTAATGATTACTGTTGTAACCTAAGGAAGGTTACTGAATAGATTAATCACATGGAGTTTGGTAATGAACGGTAATACTTAGGACAAGAACAACACATATAAGATTTGCCAACGGCATGTAGAAGTAGTAGTCAACTGCTAGAAGTTAATCAAATCAATTCTACAATGAATCTCTCGATGCAGACTAACATACAGTATTCACTACTGTATTTATGGGAATGGGGGCACACCCATTATTGTATATAGGTATGCTACAACAATTACCATGAAAATACTTATAGAAAAATCACAGGAAAACTGTTATGATAGTGGAAAATTAACTGAAGCTGAGATGCCAGGTTAGCATCAATAATACTGCAGACTCTTCTTTGGATTTTATCAATAATTTCGAAATACCAAACCAGATGTGACAATATTCAATGCATGTATGAATGGTAGACTTATAAATATGTAAAATCAATTGTGGCAAAGAAAATGTTGATTGATTTGTTTCTTATGGTTTACCAACATTCTTATTTAAAGCTGAAACATATTTAGGATTCCAAGAATTAACTTTTTTTGTGACTGAATATTGCATTTACAATTTGTTGAAGATAATAATGGGAAAGTGACTAAATCTAAGATGCCAGGTCAGTACCAATAACATTGCAGATTCTTTTTTTGTATTTTATCAAGAATCTTTATATACATAGCAGAAGTACCAGAATAAATGTGACATTCTTTTTTCATTTTATGTGCTATATCCATTCAGAATGTATGTGATCATAGCCCTCCATTTCCTCCTATCCCTTGTAGTTCTTAATAAGTTTTGTCCCTTTGCTATTTCCACCAGGCCATATTCTGTCATCCACTTGTTTAAACCTAGAACACTAACCATGGGTATATAGTACCCAGTGCAAATTTTCCTATTTTTAATTACAATTTTCAGTACCTGATTTTCTTACCTAAATAATGTTTTTCAGTTCCTATTAATGTTAACTCAAAGTACAAAGTTTGAAGTGCCTGCATGTAAAATATTTGAAATAAAGATTTATATTTAATATATTTTTGATATTTTCAAAATCGGGTATGATATACCCTTGGTTAGTAGTGGTGTAACTTTAATTGATGGTTAGTGTTCTAGGGTTAAGCCCGCTAGGTATGTCATGCATTGCTTTCCCTTGTCTCTCTTTCCCTCTATTCGCCCTGTGAGTATCAGATTCTCCAGGCCCTCCTTTCTCATTACCTGTCCCAGAAATTTCAGCTACCTCTTCCTGATGTTAAGTATAAGCTTCCTCCTTGTTTGCATCCCCTTCAAAACCTCATTGTTGCTCACACACTCAGTCCATGATATCCTTAGCATCCTTCTGTAGAACCATACCTCCGCCATCTTGAGTCTCTTCTTCATCTTTGAGGAGATCATCCAACATTCACTGCCGTAAAGGAAGACAGATGTCACGTAGCAGCTCAGCACTTGTTTCTTTCTGCAATACTAATATCCAATGCAAGAATGAATGGTAGATATATATATATATATATATATATATATATATATATAAAAGAGGATATAATTGTCTTGACTTTTATATACGATCACATTATTTATTCCACTGTAATTACAATGTAATTAGCTGTTAATATTTCCTGTCGTAACAGAATTTAGCTTTATTGTTTTAAACAAAAAAGAATACCAGATAAGAATAAAATGTAGGTATAATTTAATATAGCCCATTTGTTTGTTCTTTTTTTAATTGCCTGTAGAGAAAGGTTTTAATAGCAGGAGCAGCAGCCCAATTTAATAGCCTACTTCTCCAAAATACAAAATTGAAAAATATTTAGCAATTGCCATTAATTGTTCTGTATTAAAGCCAGGCAAATGGTTGAAGAATATAATAAAAGGAGTCTTTTGTATTTATTTAGGAATCATGGTGGAGTAATGGATAGAGGCCCAGATTGAGGAATTTAGAGATCCAAGTTCAAATTCTAGTCGAATCCATTACATTCACTTATGTGCTAATACCCTTGGGAAAGGCATGCATCCTCTTCTTCTCTCTCCAGCTTTGGGTAAATAGCAGGACAGACTGGCTTCTATAGCCTTGGATGGCAACTGGTCTAGGAGAAGGACAACTCTGAATTCAAAACCTGATCCTCCAGGTTGGGAATTGTGCAATACGCTAAAAACCTACACACTTAAAAACTGGCTTGTTATAGAAACTACAATGAAATCTTGCAGCCTTATGTTCCCCAAGGAATTTAAAGGCATTATATATATATATATATATATATATATATATATATATATATATATATATATATATTAAGAATTTATTTATGTTTTATATTTTAAAATTTTCTAAAGAAATTAAGTCTTTGGTATCAATTTGATTGTTAACCGTAACAGCTGTTTAACTAAGTGCTTCCTCAGGTTACTTGCCAATAATTACAGGTTTTATCTGTTCCTGATTTTCTATAAATCACAGGAAGGAAAAAAAAAGGAATAAAGAAAGAGAGAGACTAAAAGAGAGAGGGGGAAAGAAAGTGGAAGGTGAAGAAGGAATATGAAAAGAAAAAAATTTTTTGAGGTTGATTTTTTTGGAAATGAAAGGACAAATGTAAAACTATCAAGAAAAAGAGAAAAAGATGGTGAAAAAAATTTGGTGAAGGAAAAGATGAAATGAAAGAAAGAAAAAGTAAGAAAATAATAGAATAAAAGAAAAAAGCAAGATAGAATGAAAGAAAAAGATAAAAGAAAAATGGAATAAAACAAAGAAAGAAAATAGATGGAATGAAAGAAAAAGATGGTAAGGCATAAAAGAAATGTAGAATGAAAGAAAGAAAAAGTAAGAAAATAATGAAATAAAAGAAAAAAAAAAGAATGATGAAAAAGAAAAATGGAATAAAAGATGAAATGAAAGAATGTAAAAAAAGAAGAAAAGAAAAGAAAATAGCAAAAGAAGGAATATTGGAGAGAAGAAAAACGAATAGATTTTTGATAACTGAAAGAAAGCAAGAAAGAAAATGCAGAGGGAAATAAAAAGAGGAAATATTGATGGAATGAAATAAAGTTGTGACAATAGAGAAGAGAAAGACAAATCAAAATGTGATCAAGATGAAAAAAATGAAAAGGGGAGAAAAAAAAAGAAAGAAAGAATTAGAAGAGAAAACATTAAAAAAGAATGAAAAGAAAGAAGGAAAAAGAAGAGAAAAGAAAAAGAACAAAAAGGAAGAAGGAAAAAGAAGAGAAAAGAAAAAGAACAAAAAGGAAGAAGGAAAAAAAAAGAGAAAAGAAAAAGAGAACGAAAAGGAAGAAGGAAAAAGTAGAGAAAAGAAAAAGAACAAAAAGGAAGAAGGAAAAAGAAGAGAAAAGAAAAAGAGAATGAAAAGGAAGAACGAAAAAGAAGAGAAAAGAAAAAGAACAAAAAGGAAGAAGGAAAAAGAAGAGAAAAGAAAAAGAGAACGAAAAGGAAGAAGGAAAAAGCAGAGAAAAGAAAAAGAGAACGAAAAGGAAGAAAGGATTAGAACGGAAATAATTCAAAACTGAAAAAATTAAATGGCAGAAAGGAAAAAAGAGAAAAGTTTTAAAAATCATTCAGAAATTAAAAGAAAAAAAAGAGAAGATAATAAGATAAGAAACCGAGATAAAACAATGTGAATAAAATTCCTGATATGTCAGAAGAACGGAGACAGAAAAGAAAGCCTTGAAAATAATTGAATGCTGAAGAAAAATTAAAAGAATTAAAACAAGAAAATAAATACAAAAAGAAAGAAGAAAGGAAAGAAAGAAAATATAAAAAAGACAAAAGAAAGACATAAGAAAGAAAGAAAAAAGAGTTGATGACAGAAAATTGTTTAAAAGAAAAAAAAAAATGGTTGTAAAATGTTTACAAGAAATTAAATGTCTGCCCTTCAGAGATCTCAGTCAACACCCACTTTGCCCCGAAGTGTGTCCAGAAGAAAAAGGAAAGATAGTGTTGAAATGGCAGTCTGAAGTTGTTTATCTTGTGAAGCTCTTCAGTAAAAGAGGATGGCTTAATGTGTGTTGGTATAATGATATTTGATCATCACCTTCCTGTTACTGACCTTCTTTTGTACATGTTTTGTTTTCATAATTTTCTCATGATTTTCTATTCATAATAAAAAAGAAAGAAATTGGGAATGAAATACATTGAGATGTTGGTTTAATAGGCTGTTTACAAGTCAGTCATGATGCTCAAGTAATTATATAGGCTCTCAGTCTATAATTTAGTTTGTCAAAAATATTGAAGGAAAATATTCAGAACTTGGGGAGAAGCCAGAGTGGAAAGATGAGTGTTTGTATAGGCACAGAGTGTATGTACCTATTTATGGGTTCATGGCCAAGTGGTTAGAACATTTGCCATATGGTCAAGAAACGAAGGGGAAGTGTTCAAACTCAACAAGGTCGATTTGTTAGAGAGATGACTTCTTGATAATATCAGTCTGTAGGTGGGGGTGCCTGAAAACCATATTCAGTAGACACAATCATTTAGAAGCCATTGATGGTTATACTAGCAGAAAGTCAAAAGTTACTGAGACTGAGAGTTTGAACATGTTATGCAGTCACTTCCAAAAGCTAAGATCCACTCAGCATAGTTGCAGTATAAAATACAGATGGACTCTGAGTGAACGTCTGTAATAGGGATTTGCTAGCCACTCTGGCAAATGGATGTGCAAAGAAACAAGTACCCAGCTATTATGTATATATATATGTATCCAACAGCTAGAGGTATAAATTGCACAGCATGTGCCTAGCTTTATTTGTAGACATGCTCCATTAGCTCCATAAGTCTGCCATCAGGGAGCATTTATTTAGTTTCATCACTTGTGATGAGGTCCTATTGTTCAGCAGAGTTCTTCTCTATGCTGCACAGGACTCAGATGAAACACCATCTTAACATCTTGAAGGCTGTTGTTATCAACACATCTCATCCAACTGTGTAGCTGAAACATAAACCGGCACTCTTTTGCCTTGTTCTGAGCAACTTTAAAATTATTTTCATTCCCCCCCCCACTTGTCACTTTGAATTCAATTGAAAGGAGGTTTATTTCCTTTCAGTAGTTTTTTTTTTAATTCTGACGATTTTTCTTTTGATGAAGTGTTGGACAAAAGGTACCTTACTTGTGATGATAGTTTTGTATCCGACTTTTTGATTAAAAAAATGTTCCCTTTTTTAAGAATACTATATATATATATATATATATATTTGGTTGGATAGATGTCTATCCAACCAAATATGTTAGCTCTATCTCTGATATTGAGCGCTTTCTAATAAAAGTACATATATAATATATAAATAATTATACATATATATATATTTATTTATATTTATATTCACTTTTCACATATATATATATATATATATATTAAAGAAAAAACAAAACTGTTTATGGACATAATGAACACCTTGCCAAAACTCTTATTCAGATAAAGTAAATGACAATACTGAAAAAGGAAAAGAAAAAATGCCTAAAGGCAAACCTACCTACTCAGTAAATAAAGTGGTCGAAGCCTTGATTTCCAAGACACAGCAAAAAACACTTAAAAGCATTAAACCATATGAAAGGATGGCCCTAGTCGTAACCCAGGTTTTATGTGATCTTCTGGTGACTTGAAAGAAGGGAGGGACAAGTGTTATATAACCAATGACAATAAATCACCTTAAAGTATCATGGGAAAAAAATAAAACAAAATAATTTTATTTGAAAAAAACCTGTGGATCACCACACCATACAACGAGTGTAACAGCAAAATTGTCCATATCATGTAACAGCAAAATTGTCCATATCATGTAAAAGCAAAATTGTCCAGTCGTTAGCTCTGAACCATTGTATCTTAAAAATGATTAAAGATATTTAACTGGAATTCTTCAAGGTTTTTGTAACACTATTGAACTTTACTTTGAGCAAGAAGAATGTTGAGCAAGCTTAACAGAAGAATCGTGATGAAATCAATCATAAATTAAAATGACATGTTCATCATTAATTAATCATAGCTAAGTATTGGGAGATCATGAAGGGTTGAAATAAAGTTCATATATATATATATATATATATATATTATTCCAGGATCATTTTCCAACTTATTCTATATGATCTTTGCCCTCTCTAACCTTTTAACCTTTTGTCCCAAAGTAACAAGGTGTCTCACACGTTTTACATACGATTTCATTTTCAAGTCTTTTTTCATTGCTCTTTGGACTGTCACGGCTGAAACTCCTCACTAATGTGCCAAAAGTCTAATGGATTGAGTTGGATCTTTTCTAATTGATCTCTTTAGTTCTAAGTTGAAATGATGATCCCACTTCCTGTTGCGATCTCTTCCTCCAATTTTCCTCTTCACTGTTCCTTCTTTTTTAAACTTATTCACCGTTCTCTTGATGGTTCTTGAATGGACTTTGAAGATGGAAGCCAGAGTATGAATGTTGGTACAATTACTGAAGGGCTGAATGATCTTTTTCCTCTCACCATTGCTCATATGGGAAAGACACTAGGTCTAACACTAACACAAAACAATTTTTAACTTGCTCTCTTTTTAGTTGAATAACTTAGAGGGTTTTCAGTGATTCTTACAAAAAATGGCGTCATGGTGACTAAACAACTTATCTGAAAATCTGGAAAACAAAAAAACAAAACTCAGTTTAGTGTCTTTTTAGATCTTAAACATTTTGTGGGGTGGATAATTATACTGTTACACAATTTGGACAATTTTCCTGTTACACTCAGTATATATATATATATATATATATATATATATATATATATATATATAGGCCTGAATGTCTGAGAAATTTTCATAGAAAATATTTGTTCTCTGATAGGAATTAAACCTGTATCCTATATGGAAATGTCATATAGCTTCTCAGATATTCAGGCAGGTAAATGATGTTCATGCTCATTTGTTTACATCTGGATAGGCATTGAGCAGATATGAATATACATGAGAGATTCGTAGAAGATTGAAGTTTAAAAGCAGGAAAATTGACCATGGCTTGATCGGTTAAGGCACGTCAGGCTAAATGACGATTCCCTATAGGATGCAGGTTCGATTCCTGTCAGAGAATGAATATTTTCTATGAAAATTTCTCGGACATTCAGGCAGGTAAATGTCATTAATACTGTTTATTATAAAACAGAGCATTTATATATATATATATATATATATATATATATATATATATATATATATTAAGAAATGAACAAGGTCCGACAATTTATTTATTAAAGACATATTTTATGTTTAAAAAATATATAAATAAATAAATATATAAATCTATAAAAATAACAACGTTAAACATAAAATATGTCTTTAATAAATATATATATATATATATATATATATATATATATAGTGGATGGAAAGAAAGCCTATATTTAAAATTATTGATAATTTTATTAATCATTTGGACTGATTTTCATGAAACCTGTTTTATTTTGAACAATAGTAGAAGTATGGTACAGTGTTAAAATTCTATATAGGCACCAGCGTTGTTCAGTAGTGTTTGTAATCATCTGGTTATATCATCGACCGACATCATTATTCCTTGTATCTTTTGAACATTTTCTTCCAGTCTGGATTTTTAAGGATGACTATTTTTGTGAGTATCTACCACAGATTCCATACTCATCAGCTTGGAATGAAAGCACGAGGTACATGAAGAACTATGCCACCATCCTAGTACATGTACCATGGACTACCACACTTCATAACGGGAAGCTATCTAAGCACCCTTATGCAGTGTCAGTTGTTGTTCCATTCTGAACTACACCTTTCACTGTGAAATAAAAACAGGATTTAGCAATGAAATTCTACCAATTTTTAGGGATCATAATATACTTTGTTTCATATGTAATATGATAATATTAACAAAAGTTATAAGTGATTTTCAATAGTGATTTTCTTTCCAGTAACCCTGTGTGTGTGTATATATATATATATATATATATATATATATATTATATATATATATATATATGATCGAAATTATAAAACTTAATATTACGAGACGTATTAAAAAAATTTTTTTTTTTTTCCTCCCACAACTTCCTTTTATTGTACATTTTCTGTGTTAATTTTAAATTAAATCTCCCGTTGAAGCCTGAAGAGCGGAGTGAAACTGGTTGCTTCACCTGTTTTTTCAAAATATTAAGTTTTATACTTTTATTTCGAACATTAAATTTTGTACCTACAAAATATCTTTTATATATATATATATATATATATATATATATATCTAAGTATAGGATTGGTGTATATGGAATAAATTCCACTAACCAAAAATACTACTCTTCAATACAGAGTGGAGCAAATATAATTTATTCAAAAAATATAACATAAATCTGTTATAAAATCACTACAAAAATAGCCATTATACAAATAAGATACCAGAAGTTTAAGTTTTTTTTTTCAATTTATGTTATAAGTTTCGATTAAAAATTATATATATATATATATATATATATATATATATATATATATATATATATATATTCAGATCAATGCCAGAGTTTTTTTTTGTAATCATTCAGTCCATTCATCAGAAGATGTCAGCAATTTACTAGGAATTTTCACTATCTTTATAAACTTGGACACTGAAGTAGCATCAATGCTGAGAGTCTGTTTCATACTTGAGCAAAATCTTTCATCCCATGATGTTCAGTACTTTTTACACATAGATTCAAGTTTGTGCCATAAGTGTACACTTAGATTATCTTTAAAGATTTTTATCCTGCAGTAATTTGCAAAAGACCAGTTGCCATAAGGCTATAGAACCCAGTCTGTCCTGCTATTTAATA